GAGGAACCTATCTTATTCACATGCCACATCCATATGTTTATCGTTTGGTTTAATTACCTAAGGCATGTTAGGTTTAGTCGAAGGACCTCTGTACCCTTGTTTGGTACATGTTCTCATATGCCATTTCATGTACTTGTTGTTCGCTTCAATTACCTAAGGCATGTTAGGTTTAGTCCAGGACCACTGTATCCTAGTTTGGTACATATTCTCACATGCCATTTTATGTGTTGTGCGTGTTGAATTATGTAATGCACTATTTCGTTAGGTTTTATTTGCAGTACGTGAACTAGTTTCACTAACTCCGTAATATTAAACTGAATATTATGACCACTGTCGACAGAATATCATCAATAGTCCTCCGAGGGGTATCCCATGAAGGTAGATTGATCGGCAGAGAAGCGTGTGATCAAGAACAAGAAGGCAACAGAGACACACGAGTTAGACAGGTTTAGGCCATCAATATGACGTAATACCCTACTCTTGTGGTATGTTGGTTTGTATTAGCTACCGTATGATATTGCGTGAGTTTGGAGGGGGTCCCTGCCTGCCTTATATAGTCCGGGGAGCAGGGTTATAAGTCGGTTAGATCTGAGAGATAATCGGAAAGTAATAACTGATTGCAGGAATCTTGGGATCATACATATCCTAACAGATCTCGTAGTATCTTCAGGATATCTTCCAGATGTCTTGCGGGAGGCGCTGAGCAGAGTTGTGCCCTGTAAGGCTTCGTCTTGCGGGCTGGGCTGCCCCTGTGGGCATAGCCCATGTGGTCTGCCGTGCGTATCTGGGGTCGTACCCCCCACAGTTAGTCCCCGAGCACCTTGTACCCGTTGTGCAATGTTGTCTTGAGCTTGTCCGAGCAGGTACAAACATAGCCGAGCTGTCAAACTCATGGTCCAACCACCGTGATGAGTTGCCGAGTAGCGTGAACTGTCGCCGAGCAGTGTGAACCAAATACAACTTGCCATAAGGGTGTAAGGAGCTCAAGTTTAGAATCGAAAATTTCTTCGCGGTGGACCAAGTGTGCCCACTTAGAGTCCGACCACGAGAAAAGAAGATAACCTTCTTCAGCTTCAAGAGGCGCGGAGTCTTCCAGAACAAAACAAGCACATTTACCGCTAGGTGAAGCGTGCCCACTTAGTCCCCGAGCCTGACAGTAAATGACATAGTCATGTGGTGACAGGGTCCAAAGTAGAAGAAAAATAAAAGACCAGCCGAGCAGGCAGCCAGTCCCTGAGCGTAGCCCCGAAAAGCACATTCACCGCAAGGTGAAGTGTGCCCACTTAATCCCTGAGTCTGAAAGTAGGTGACGTGGTCACATGATGCAAGAGTCAGCAAAAGCAGTCAACTTGTAGAAAACAGAATCGCGGAGAAATCACCGAAGTAACGGCTGTACGGTAGCAATTACTGAGCCATAACGGTTGGCGGAGAGGTCGGCGAATATTCGGCGAGCCGTAACAAATTGCGAAGATAAATCAGCAATACAGGCCGAGGTTGCGCAAAGGCCCAAGTAACGGCCCACCTTCAGTTGCGGAGAATTCGGGGTGGCGGAAATTGCGGGAACGGTTCCCCAAAAACCCTCGAATGCGAAAGGGTGGGGAAAGTGCTTTATAACTGCGCCGCCGCATCCCGCGTTCCCACCTTTGCCACTTTGCCATTTCGTCTTCCTCCTCAGCCCTCACATTTCCAAATTTGCATCCACACTTGCTTCCGTTGCCAAACCCTAATCAGATCTGAGAGATGGTGCCGAAGAAGGGAGCTGCCAAATAGAAGAAGATGAGCCCCAAGAAGGCGAGCGCCGAAGCCCGGCGTGACGAAGAGTGGGTGCCATCGCAAACGGGAGAAGCGGAGCTCAACAGATTGGTGGAAGTTGGCGTTCTTCCTGACCGCGCTACCGTCGGATGGCGGCCGGCCCTCGGTGAGCGCTTCCCAACACCTCATACTGATGAAGTGGTGGTATTCGAGGATTATTTCTGGCGTGGGTTGGGATTTCCTGTTCATCCATTCCTGAGGGATTTGCTGGAGCTTTGGGTGGTTAGTCTGTGCAATCTCCACCCAAATATATGAACTCTGGAGAAAAAAATAGCGTATGTAGCTCGGCGATCAGTTAGAGCGAAGATGTATTTATATTTAATATAAACCGCCCGACCAGTTAGTGTATAGCTGAGTCTCCAGCCCTAGCTAGCCCATAGTCCATAACGTCAAGCGTGGAGCCCGTGCATGTGTAGGAGGAACAGGCATCGCTAAGGAGCCGCTGCCGACCACCTATAACACAGAGGGCAGACGCTCGTGCACGTGTAGGGAGGAGCCGGAGACAGGGCCGTCTCTAGAGGCGTCCGAGCATCAACATGACTGTTCGAGGGTTCGGAAAATCGTTTGGAGAGCAAACATGGAGAAAACAGCTCAGAGAAACATTATGGCGATATACGGAGATTGGAGAATATTTAGAAGAATATTAAAGCGTGACTTAGCTTTAGACAGAAAGTTTGGTCGATGACGTATGGCGTTATCTGGTCGGCGTTGATGGCGAGCACCTGGCAGGCGGTGAGTTGTTGGTGAAGATGACCTCGGAGGTGATTCCGAGATCGGATCTGCTGTCGCGGGGGCTGGTGTAGCCAGCGATGAATCGTCGTCGTGGACTGACATGGATCTCCATGAGATTGATGATGAGAACGCATTGTTGATTTGAGGTCCATCTGGCTCGCAATGGGATCAAGCGCACACCCCTACCTGGCGCGCCAACTGTCGACAGAATATCGTCGGCAGTCCTCCAAGGGGTATCCCATGAAGGTAGATTGATCGGCAGAGAAGCGTGTGATCAAGAACAAGAAGGCAACAGAGACACATGAGTTAGACAGGTTCAGGCCATCAGTATGACATAATACCCTACTCCTGTGGTCTGTTGGTTTGTATTAGCCATTGTATGATATTATGTGAGTTTGGAGGGGTCCCTACCCGCTTTATATAGTCTGAGGAGCAGGGTTACAAGTCGGTTAGATCTGAGAGATAACCGGAAAGTAATAACTGATTACAGGAATTTTGGGATCATACATATCCTAACAGATCTCATAGTATCTTTAGGATATCTTCCAGATGTCTTGCGGGAGGCGTCGAGTAGAGTCGTGCCCCGCAAGGCTTCGTCTTGCGGGCTGGGCCACCCCTGAGGGCGTAGCCCATGTGGTCTGCCGTGGGTATCCGGGGTCGTACCCCCCATAACCACAAATAATGAAAACAACAAAACAATGAAAAGCCCAATACTAGGGAACAGTAAACAACATAATAATACTAGAAGTACATGCCAATAAACTAAATAACCCAGTACATGACCTAAGTACGTCCATACTTAAAGTGCATTACATGACAACACAATGAAAAATCCAAGACTAGATAACATTGTTCATGAATAAACCATAGAACTAGCAAATCATGGAGACTACTGAGTGCAACGAGGCCACTTTCCCTTCCTCAGGGCATCGGGATTCTCCTCCATCGCTTCTTTCACTCGGCGCGCACGCTCAAGCTTCTTCTCCCTCTCCTCCCTGTACGCAGCAACACGCCTCCTTTCCTCCTCTTCCTTGTGCTCCTTTTCTGCAGCCTTCTCTCTACGTCTCTCCTCCATCTCCTTGTCCTCTGCCTCCCACTACAACAGTTTTTGCATCCACTCCTTGTCTTCCTGCTTGATCTTAGTGTCGATCCACTGCTCAAAATCACAGAGCGGTGGAGAGGTCTGCAATACATTCAAATGTTACACACCAAATAAACTATGCATGACTTCATATGACACAAAATAATTATTACACGACATTAAATTCTTACCATCTTGTTAATGCGGCGCTGACGAAGTGTAGGCTCAAACGTAAAATTGACACACATCCAATACCTCTGCCTATACGTGTCCTCTTCATCGGACTTTGCTACCTTACAAGGATCACCGCAAAAGTACATGGGCACTGAAACACCACTAGGCAGAGGCAATGGGTCGAAGGCATTTTCGGTCATCCGGCCATAACTATAATTCAACCAAATTCTTTCTAAGAACCAAAAGCAATAAACACTAAACCCTAAACCTAAGGTTTACCATTTGATGGACAACAATGAACCCATAATATAACAACATGCGCTGAGGTTACCTTGGCTTGCTAGCTTTTTCACTCCTTGGCATCCTACGATTGAATAATACAAATATTAAAAATTGCATAAAACCCTAAGTAATGACGATTCTTCGGTTGCAAAATACAACTAATACATACTGAATCGATGCAAAAAAATTAGGAGGGGAGTAAGGATACCTTGCTCTCGAAGATCTATGGATCAAATCCAAGTTTCCAAGGTCCAATGTGCCGATTCTTGAGGTAGAACGAAGTGGGGAGAGTAAAAACCCGAGAGGGAGAAGGAAGAAAAGGAAGAAGCCTCGGCCAGGAAAGGTGGGCGCTGATTTTAAGCACTATAACAGCGCCACAGATCTTGGCGCCGTGCTCGGTGCCAAAGGCTACGGTGCCAAGCTCGGCGCCAAGATCCCTAGTGCCGAGGTGGCTGCCAGGTCACCGCCACGTCTACATCGACGCCGACGTGGCTCCAAGACTTAGGCGCCAATTACTCTGGCGCCGAGACGTGTAAGCTCGGCGCCAATTACTCTAGCGCCGAGGTCAGGGTCTAGATTTTGAAAGCATACCTTCAGTGGCATATTTGTGAAAAACTTTCAAAAAAAAAGAACAAAAAAACGGCTAAGGTGAGGGGAGTAGGGAAAAAAAAGGTTCCTAAGGTGAAGGAAACAAGTGTCCATACCTTGCTGTTCAAAAAAAAAAAAGTGTCCATAGCTTGCACGTCGTGGTCGGTGTAATCTGGCCCGAACTCGGACCAGGCCCATATATGCCTCGCTTCTTCCCCCTCCCTCTCCTCTTCTGCTTCTTTCTCTCCACGCCAACCCGACACCGCGCGGTCGGCTCGGCTCGGCCATCGCCATCCCCGCCAGCTCCCGTGCCGCTCGAGATCCCCGCGCCATGACGGTCGGCGTCGCTCTCTTGCTCGACCTCACTTCCCGCCTGCCCCGCGCTGTGGCATCCGCCGCCTCCGCCGCCGCCCACTCCCACCCCGGCCTCTCCGCCGCCGCCTTCGCCGCGACTGCGGCGGCCGCGTTCTCGTCCTCCGGGGTGCCCCTCTCCGCGCGCCACCTCTTCGGGTTCGTTCCCCTCCCCCCTATTGCCCCTCCTCCATCACGTCTTGCTAGGCTTCTTTCGCTGTGAGCTTGCGACTTCCCCGTCGCGTGCTTGGTTGCTAGAGCACGGCTGCCCGTGTTGCGGAGAGGTGTTCGATTCGTTGCCTAGTAGGTTGTGACTAGGGTTTGGTTAGCGGTTTAGCCGGCGCGCTGGGTTCCGGTGGTGTTTGGTTCAGTCGCCGCATGTTAATTAGTCTCTCCATCTGATCTCGGCAGGGAAGCAGGAAGCAGAAAGATATGATTTTTTTTAGATAATAATCGGCAGAAAGATACATTATAGTTCTGTGAGGTTAAATTTTGATTATATGCAACACTTCTCCTCAGTATAAACAGATTCTATATTGGCTGTTTGACATCTAGAAGCTCATTGAGAATTGTTCTTAACTTCTTATCCAACTGATGTATGGTATATACAACCATGTAGTAACTTTGCCGTGATTGTGATGTCTGGGAGAAGTCATGTTTTCTTGTTAGTAATTCTGTAGTTGTATCAGAGTGTTGTGTTGACTATGTAGTTGGTTCTTATAAAACATATGTAAAGTGAGCACAAGTTGTAAACTTGCACTAATGCAGACTGCTCTCCTGATCTCCTGATCTTTGTGAAGCTTACCTTTTACCTTGTCGAAATTATTAGTTAATCTATGTGGCAGACTGGTCTCCTGATACTTCTAAGGATAATCTTTTTTTGTCCAATGAGACAAGTGTTTTACTTGGCTTATATATCATTAATATCCCCTTGATGTATGTGAATTAGCCAATGTATACAGTATATGTTGTTTAGTTTCACAGCGCGCATCTGATTATGGTCGCAATTTCCCTTGCCCTGAATTTACATCATTGTACATTTGGAATTCTGTTGTGTTATGCTGGCAGAACGTAAATTCCCATAAGACTTTGAATCTAATGGACAGTTCACCAAACACAAGTGATGCACTTAGCCAGCAAAGAAAACGATAACAAGCTCCTTTGTTGCACTTAGCTCTGTGATTGTGATGCATATCTTTATGTGCTGTTTGTTGGCCTTGGTAGTGCATCCAGTTTTCTTTTGCTTACTTGCATTTCTTTTTATTGTTCTGACACTAGTTAATTGCATTTTTTATTCAGTTTTCATGGGTTTACTGTTGCTCATTGTGATGCTGGCACAACTGCTGGATGGAATGATGGTTCTGATGATCTTGTTAATGAGCTTAATACCAAGATTCTTGACTCCATGCAATATGCAAGAAAAGACTACTTCCACAACACAACAAAGGAATACCCTTCGGAGCTGAAGCCACTCTTTTCTGCCTTTGGGTTGAAAAATTTTACTATCACAACCCTGAGGTCTTTTCTGTTATATTATTTGCCACTCATACAACCTAAACCTCACACTGATTCTGAGGATGAGGATGACGATCTGCTTCATGATGCTCAAGATAAACCTGTGGATCTGGTTGCTCCCTTCTACAATTCAGTGAAGCAAATCATGCGTGAGGTAACTTCTTTTATTATGATGTACTTTATGGATAATGTGATCAATTCTCTGTGTATAGCAGGCTTTCATAAACTGGCTACTATGCCTCTCCAATAGCAAGCATTATAATTAAAACGTTAAGTAATGAATTTCTACAATTGCTCTTTAGTCAAACTGTGTGATAAAAAACGCTTGATGATCAGATTGATTAGTTACAGTATGTTCTAATTTGTAACACTTCATTACCTTGATATTGAATGTTTCTAATGTGTAACTTGGCAGTAACACCTGAAAGGAGCTTCTTGCTTCTTTATTTCTTTTTTCTTTCACAAAACTTGCATTTGATTCATGCAGATTTGATGCTTGCTGCACTTTTTAAGAATTATTTCTGTGATGTTAGTTTCCCATCGTTACTACCATCAAAATAATAATAGTTTCTTCATCTATGTGAACTATAACTTTGTTCCTAGTATCCATTTGGTTTGGGGCTTGGAATCTGAATCAAGACCAAGCAGCTGGGCATCCTGGGATTATCATGAATGCTAGGTTTACTTTGTACTAGAAAACCCAAATAATGTAACCCATTAAGCAGGAGGTTTATGGTACGTATAACCTGAGACCTAAGTGGTATAGTACAAGCTTAAGTTTTGCCAAAAGGCCTGTGCAATTTTTCTGTTGGATTAGAAGTATAAGTTATTTACATATGTCATATTCTTGTCTTTACATTTCAGACTTCTATTGTAACGACCAGACGAGTATTGGAAAGGATTGTAGTTCGTCATGTTTCACAAAGAACAGCATGGAAACTTCTCAAAGGTAATAATGCCTCTTTAATTTTCCCAGCACTTCAAACTTACTGGAGAGGGTTGTGTGCTTGTGACATCTGATGAGGTCTCTTGATATTTCTAAGTCCTACCACTATGCATTGGGTTATTGTGGTTTTATGGATCCTTTGTTTGATGACAACAGCCATTGTATTATATCATCATGTAGGGAATTTTAATGTGTTACTTCAGAAACCAGTAACTATAAATGTGTCGAACCATGTATTTTTGTCAACAGGCTTGACAAAAAATGTCGACCACATTACTTTGTACTTCTGTTAAATTTCTTAATCATCAGTGCCATCTAGCATGGTTCTTATCTCTGTTCTGATATTGATGTGCTATGTAGATTTCTAGAGACATGCCCTGTGTCTCAAATAAATTCTGTTTTTACAGGAACTAAATGAGTAACTTAGATGGCCTTTTAAACTTTTCAGCCCAATCAGTTCTTACAAGTTGGTGTGAGATTTGGAAACTAGATGCCAGAGCACTAACCTCTATTTCACCTTCATCCTTGTACACAGACCAAGGACACACCAAGTTTCAGAAAATATAATTCTAATGACTACACATGACGCTATAAATTTTATGAACAGTTTAACCACATTTTCATTGAAATAGGTGTAGCAAGTGGAAAAACATTGAATGGAGTTATCACATTTTGATTCCTCATTAATGGACATATATTTTGACTTTGATTGGAGTTAGCCACGTACAACAAGGAATATTATAATCGAGATTAAAATGAGATCAACATGTATGACCCACTGGAAAAGGCAAATGCAACCATTAGGAGCAGCACTCTCATGAACAAGCTTGTTCTGCCGTTACTTTTGGTTGAACTTGTGTGATAACCAACCCAAACTGCCAAAAATCAAGCACTTAGATTTTTATCAATCTTTACCTGAGCTTGTGTTTTTGCAGCTTATACATGTATCTCCACATGTATAGATATGCTAGCTACATTTTCTTTCTGTGGTCATATGACATGTTGACAAGGTCACAGATATACTCAGTGTATATGATGATGCTTTTATGAATCTATTTATCTGTCTCGCTCTCATCTCCCAATTCGTTTGTTTCAATTTATGGCTCATTATTATCACAATTTTTATGCAAATTATATCTAATTCTCTTTTCTATAGATGCTTCAAAATCATCAAAAAGGAAAGCTGCAAGGGGGATGTCAACTCCACAGTACACATACTGTGTTGCCAGAACAACTTTCCGAGGTCAGATTTGCTTGTATTGGTGTTTCTGATTTCTTTTTATAGAGAGTTCTCTCAAGTTTCTTCTTTGGACAGCACATGCACTGGGAGTATCTGCTGCTTGGGTTGTGCAATCAATAATTGAAGTATACAGATGTTTCATCCGTAAGCCTAGCGATGACTATGAAGCACTACCAAGCGACAGCGATGACCAGTTTCTTGATATGAATAAATTCAGATTGTTTGGGAGGAAGATTTATGGGATTACCATCAAAAGTTGTTTCTCATTGGTTTTGGCCTCAGTTGGAGCAGGCCTTGGTGCCCTCGTTCATCCAGTGCATGGACAATGGTTTGGTGAGTCATAATTTCCCTGCTGTCCTGAGTGCATATACTAAGATGCTACAATACTTTTGCGAGCATTCATTTCCACACTTAATAGAAATACATATATATTTTCAAGTTTCACTTTGAACTAGCAGAATAAGGTCAGTACACTAGCATCAGTTCAAAGTAACATTGCTTAACTGTATCTTTGTATACCTTGCAGGCTGTGCCTTGGGAGATGTTGCAGGGCCGATTATTGCTATAATTGTTTTTGAGAAGATGCAGCTGCCACTATAAGAAACTGGATTTTTTTGCGACCACTACTTTTGGGTCCCTTGAAGGACGGGCCTGGTGCAAGCGGTAGAGTCTTACCGCCTGTGACCGGAAGGGCCCGGGTTCGAGTCGCGGTCTCCTCGCATTGCACAGGCGAGGGTAAGGCTTACCACCACTGACACCCTTCCCCAGACCTCGCACAGAGCGGGAGCTCTCTGCACTGGGTATGCCCTTTTACTTTTGGGTCCCTTGTGCAAGTCATGGCCAAGTCTTCTCTGTGTTTGGAGATCTCTGATCTTACTGAAAGTTTACAGTTGATGAATAACAGCTTTCACCTCAATTCTCGTAGTTTGGTAGCTCCCTTTATAGAGATTGCCTTCGGGACTTGTGAGACCTGAGCATGTACTTGCTAAATTTTGTACTGTCTCAGATTTTGGAACGAAGAATGAAACATAGATGAACATCTTTGTTAGTTGAATCGGCATATTTCATCACTATTGTTGCCATGCACCAAGTAACCATTTTCCTTAGTACTCTCTCCATTCCAAATTGTAAGTCGGTTTTGCTTTTTTAGATACATAATATATATCTAGGTGCATATAAAAGCTATGTTCCAGAAAAGTTAGAGACATAATATATATCTAGTCTTAGGTACATAATAAAAACCGTGTACAGAACAACCTACATTTTTGAACTTAGGGAGTACTTCAATACTTCATGCTGGTTGTGGGGGTACCACTGTTCTAGTACTGTAAGCATTAGAATTCAATGTGTAACCAAATTTCTGTTCTGGTTCCGTAAGAACAAGATTTTGATAGGAACATTTTGCTGGTACATTCAGGTTGGTATGCCAAATTCATCAAATTTAGTTCCGTGTCAAGTTATAACCCATTATTACCCATCCTGTTCGACATTAGGGCGTTTGCGTTCACATTGAACCGAGCCTAACATCAAGACCTGCCTTAATGAGGATATCTGGATATATAATGCAAATGTTTGACAGGCACAGATGACAGATCCATACTTTTCAAGTTCCATACCTCTTGTCAATCCTTATCCTTAGACAAAAACCTTGAAAAGAGTGTTCATTCACAAAAAAAAAACATTGAAAAAAAGAGCCAAATTTGAACAGAAATGCTGGGAAGTGGGCGTCCATCTACCCCGGATGCTTCATTGGTGGGCCGCGATGCTAGCCCAACTACCCTTCCTATCCACTCAAGAGTTTCTAAAAAAAAATCAATCTTCCTGCCTCGTGGCCCTCTTTCTTTCCCACTGTGTCGCACCTCGTGCGCAGCTCGCGTCGCCACCACCACCTCGCTGCTCCGACCTGGCATCACACCGCCCTCCTTGCTCACCTGCCGCGCCGCCCACACTTGCTTCCACGCACCCCCGGACCGCTGAGGACCACCGGCTCTTTGAACTCGGGGTGGGAGTTGAGGACCGTTGGCTGCCTTTCTTCCGGGATCCGTTTGTCGCCTCCTTAAACTCGATGTGGGCGCCATTTTCTCTGCTCCTTGTCCTAGGTCGCTGCCTCCGGTGAAATTCACACGTCGACGAGCCTCCATTCTCCTAAGCAATAAGGAGATGTTGCGCTGCAAGCGCACGTTGCAAGCGTATGTTGATGTTTCAGAGGTATGTTGCAAGTGTTTCATACGGATGTTGCAAAAGTGGATTGGGATGTTGCATATGTTGCAATTGTTGTACACGTATGTTGTAAGTTTTTGTTTCCAATGTTTCATTTATTTTTTTTAGAAGTACGTTGCAACTGTGTTTATTTGAATGTTGCATATGTTTCACACATATGTTGCAAGTGTTTTATCTAGATGTTGTGTATGCTTTACAATGGTTTTCAAGTATTTTTTATGTGGTTTTGCAAGTGTTTAAGATGCACATTTTAAGTGTTTCATCTGCCTTCAGACGTATGTTAAGTGTTGCATCTGGATGTTTCAAAAGTAGATCAGGTATTGCATCTCCCTCCTCGCTTTCTGTAGCCTCGCCTCAGTGTCTCCTCCTCCTCCCGGTGTCGGCTGCCATCCGCTATCCTCTCCCCCTCTTCTCGATGCTGGTGACATTCGGGGCGGCGCGGGCCCCGCGTGAGCGCGCGAAACGACATGGGAAACGTCCGGATGCTAGGAAGCCCGAAGTTTGAAACAATGCTAGTTTCACCATTGAATCGAAGCAAACAAAGCCAGTTACATCTAGAATCGAAGAAACCTTTCAAACAGGTAGCATCAAGAATGCCCAAGTTAAATATATATATATATATATTGTCGGATTGACCAAATAGAAAATAATACACATTACCTTTTTTTAGGTAAAATAATACACATTAGCTGAGCACAGGTGAATCAACAAGCTAGGTAAAATAATACACATTAGTCTGGCTAGGAAAACCTTCAGGTCCAACCACCAGTTGGATTAAGATAAAACCACCTGATAATAAAACAGATTACAGCCACTGCAATGCAGGCATGCAGCTCAGTGTTGGATAATGCAGCTGCAGTGGCGGACATGGTCCCAAAACTTTTTTCTTTTGAAAGATCATGGTAAGAAGTCGAAGTCGCTTGTGCTGATTTGTACGGCTGATTTGTTGGAAGAGAAAAATATTGTACCATGACTGATAAACCGGTTTATAATAGCAGCCGAAAAGAGCCTTAGCATTCAGCTTTATTTATTGTATGTAATTCTGAAAAATAAATGTGAATGAAATTAAAAAAAAAAGGAAAAGTCGAAATCGTTTATTTCCCTCCCCACCTCCCTTATCTCCCGCGCTCTGCTCTTCCCAGTTCCCACCATCGCCTCCACCTCCACCTCCACCATGGCTGCCGTGGGCATCACCTCCCCTCCGGCGCCACACGCCTTGGCGCCCGCCGCATCTCCTTCCGCCTCCTCATACTCCACGCCAGGCCTCCGCCGTCTCCGCCTCTCCACCCGACTCGCCGCCGCCGGGGCGTCGTTCCTCGCGCGGCGGTGCGCCGCCGCTGCCGACGGTGGGGCCGCGGCCTCGGAGGGCGCCTCTGCGGTGGCAGACCCCGACGCGGGCACAGACGTTGCCGGAGGCGCCGCGACCTCCACGCGGCCGCCCTACTCGATCATCTCCGCGGATAACGTGCAGAAGGCGATGCGCGGCCTTGGTGCGTCTGTTTCTTGATTCATTTCACGCATTCGATTCCTTTGTGGGTATTGTTGAATGTTGATAACATGTGAATTGGGTGATGTGAAGCTGCTTAGAAATTATCAGTTTGGGGACTGGGGTGCTTTTGATGTATTTATATTTCTCTAGCAAATAGTGCGCTGCAGCGGACCCGATACGTCTTGAAATCGTACTTCATGGTATTATTGGGCGCGAGTTCTTCTAACTCACGGATCATGAGTTGGGATAATATATGGAACAGGGTATAAGGTCAGGATAGGATTGTGATATCAGATTTGGATTAGGTTTATTGACATGTGGAGGATGAACTCGAGTCAGAGGTGAGTTTCTAGGAGCGATGGAAAAAGAAATTCTCCCTCTTTAATATTAGATATAGATGAGATTAGATTGAATGGCAAACTGCTTAAGGTTTCAATTATTGTAGGATTGCATGTAGTGGATAATTTTAGATGATGATTTAATTTAAAATTAAATGTATAGTGAGTTGCCACATGGATGGATGTATGGCTTGTTCACCCCCTTTCAATTGGAAACCCTGCTTCCTAGTAATGGTAAACTGAGTGGCCCATATAATGGCATTTGAAGTTAAAGTTCCCTTGTGCAAGAAGTTGATTTAGCCACAATGTTATGCCGGTTCTGGAGGATGTTTCTGCTTTGCACACTATTGTTGTATATTTAACAATATTTCCCCAAACTTGCAGCAATTACAGATGCTGATCACTATGGGAGGCTTGGAGTCACCAGGCTAGCTTCTACCGATGAGGTAGATTGAAATTTTCCAGATGTGTAGTTCTTTTCTTTCTTTTAAAGGATCCCATGAGATTTAGCATCCACTTGAGATGGAGGCCTGACCTGGCAATAAACCAGTTAAACAATCTCGACACCATTGTGCTATTTGCCTACCCCTGAAATAGTATGCATCTCATTGCAATGGCATTAACAAAGTACGTGGTAGATGCAAAGACTGGCAAACTTTTGCAAATTCTAGTTGGTACCGAACAATAACAGTGTCTGGCTCCATTATGGCCAGCTTCCTACTTGCTTCTGACAACCATGCTAAAGTTAGATAGTACTATAACTAGGCTATGGTGTTATGTTCACAATGACTATATTTTGGAATATGTATAGTAGAGCACTCAATTCTAATAATGAGAATCTGTGCCAAAGAAACTTTTAACTATATCATGATATTTGGTGAGTATTCAAGCTAAAAGCCCAAATTATACACTATGAGATTCAGTTAGCTCTAGAGTCTAAAACAACCAGATATATGCATAAACTAAGTTTGCATGGTCATCAAGTGCATTGTGTTTCGTTCACATATCTCGTAGAGACCAGAAAATCCAGAGCCTGAAATCCAGAGATTGGATTTAAAGTCAGTCTTGTACCTTTTTATACATGCAGGAACAATTTTACTTGTATACGTTGTTTTACTCTCAATCTCGCTTTAAAACTTTATGAACTGCCTTTGTTGATCACTAGTTGGTAGATACTTTCTACTGAGTGCTAAGATCCTTTAAGGTGTGTTTGGTTTGAGAATGGTACATCATCTTCTCGCTCCTTGCTTTTTTGTTTGGTAGTAGAATAGATGGGTTGATTCTCCACCACCTCATCCCTCATAAGCTAATAATGGGATAATTCCACCAAAAATCATGAGAGGAACTCATGGTGCACCACCTCATCTAGGATGGGGTGATTCCTCAAACCAAACACCCTTAGTAACTGAGTTTGGCCTTGAAACAGGTAAAAGCTGCGTACGAGAAGAAGTGTGAAGAACTAAATAGCAAAGAACTAGAAGAAGAGGAGCTTCACAAGGAATATGACCTCATAAAGGTTCTCAGCCTAAAATAGGAGTCACAATGCCTCACTTCAATCATTTCCTGTTCTTCAATCATATATGCACCATTGTAGGAATCATTTACCATACTATCAACCGAGGAAGAACGAAGATTATATGATTGGAGCTTGTCAAGAAGTGGACAGCCTGAGCGATATGTGTGGCCATTTCAAGTTGATCCTTTGGAGATGGCACCAGATCCACCACAGGTTTGCATCAGCTCAAAGCAAAACTGGGGTTTTATGAGGATGACTTGTCCTATTAAAAACTTTTTGAATATTCCTTTGGAAAACTTTTTTACTCAACATGCTCCATGATTTTCTTAGGAATTGTAGCTTCTAAACGTTGTACGAACGAAACTGTTATTAAAAAACAAGATAAACTGGCTATAGTTATATTTAGTAGGGCTCATGGACCCATTATTGAGTATAAAGTAACTCACTTGGTACAAATAGGTTGATAAAAGAATGTATTGTCTTCAGATTGAAAGATGGAAAAAGTGGACAAATGTTACTCCCTAATGAATTAATGATGTTGTTTTGAGAATGTCTATTGATTGTGAGGATGACACGCAGGTCCAACAAGTTAATGATACAGAAACAAGCAATGGCAATTTTGAAATTGCAAATTTTCATTAGTCTGCTAGGACATTATTGTTTCCTTGAACTACTAACAAAGGTTAAAATTCATTTGACGTGTTGCTCTTTGTTGTGCATAACTTAGCTAACGGTGTTGCATGATTGATGAAACAGGAACCAGAGGATGAGTTTCCAACCAAGCTCGTTGGCTACTTCTTGCTGGTGTGGTTCATACTCTCCGTTGCTCTCTCAGTGACCCTCAACAAATGAGGAATTTCTCCCAAAAAGAACATGAATTGTAACTCAAAATCTCTTTGAGGCGCCCCCGTTTAACCGGAAACTCAAATGTGATATACGTACTAGCCCTAGGAGGCTAGTACACATATTTATTACATTTAGATGTTCTCAGTTCAGTAGTTGTGAGGGGAGCGGGTGATGAAGCCACGCCACCCAATACAGTCAATAAAGAACCATGTGATCCAAAAACAACAGAGCACGCTATCCATCTGGCAATCTCAAGCCACAGGCTTAGTTGGATGCAGACACGACCTTACTCAAACATCGCTTCGGAGATGAAATTCGGGTCTTCCTTTGTACAACAAAGCACGGATGAGTATAAAGTACTTAGCAAATCCAACCTTATCCTACGTAAGGGGATATTAGTACATACATATAGATAAATCAATGACAAGGTTTGGTTTTATTTTTCTAGAGCTATCTATTGACACATGCAAGGTTTTGTTTTGTAAATACCTCTTTGCAAAAGGCATATATATATATATATATATATATATATATATATATATATATATATATATATATATATATATATATATATATATATATATATATATATATATATATATATATATATATATATATATATATATATATATATATGTTTCTCACAATTTTGCGATTATTGTTTGTCATAATTTTAAGTGTTGTTGAACACTCTTTTCCCACAACACATGGCCGGCAACCATTCATTTCCAAAATCATACACACGCTCATGTTTCCGCTCATCCCAACCCAACTAGTAGTTGAAACCAAATTGTAACTCGTCCGAGACCACGGACATGGCTATCCAGATAGATTTTACACTTTGTAGACCTTGTACACTTTTCCATAAGTAGGATACCGTAACTTGACACCATCGTGTAAGCATAGATTCATCAAAGCCATTACCCTCCATAGCGCTCATTACATTTCACACAATTCCTCAAATTTCACATAGATCTCTTAGTATCCCATTGCACACCTGCCTCTTGGTGATTGTCATACCAACTAGGGAGATTTAGACTAAGCCTTGCCACATACAAGGTCGAGTGGTTGTACGTTAGAATGAGTTAGGAAAGATAAATCATCAACTCAGTCCTTAATCGAGACAAGGCGGATATCTTCACGCTTTAATCACAAAAGGTACATGCCACAACTCCAAGGCACCCACAAAGGGACCCGATTCGTCCCATCTCTAGGGTAATCACCATCTCTAATTTGTTCATTAACTGTTTCACAATCCCACACGACTCACACGGTTTTACTTTGCAAATCATTGTATTTAAGAAAGACATAGTATGTGGGTATCCATGATAAGTACCAAATCCTAAGCGTACTAGTTAACAATATCTCATCGCGGCATAACAACAATCCTTAGGTTTAAGCAAGGTAATCAAGTCAAGCAATTCAAGGATGGCTATTTAAACGGGCTCTAGTTAAGCAGCAAAATACTTTGTACATATAACTCGTACATGCAACATTTGAAAATAGCTTTTTTTAACGCAGAGCTGCATTTTATTGTATTAGAGAGAAAAAGGGAGGATCTCCTGTCGATGCGGGACCCACAGGATACCCCGCAAGAGAGAGAAAAGATCTAGTTCAACTAGGATTCTTCCCATGTAATCTTAGTAGTAGAACTATTAAGTAATCCTACTAGGAAATCTCATTGTAAACCGACTAGGACTCTGGCCTCCTGACTATATAAAGGAGGGCAGGGCTCCTGAAAGAGGATGACAATTGTACAACATAACACTTCATAATCAATCCAACGCAAAGGCCAACGCCGACTGGACGTAGGGTCGTTACTCGATCTACGATCGAGGGCCTGAACCAGGATAAATCGACTGTCTCTTGCGTTTACCATCGAGTTCAGCATACGCCGAAGCCCGAACAATACTGCCCCGGGTACCCCCGTGGTAGGCTATCGGTGGTGAAACATCGACAGCTGGCGCGCCAGGTAGGGGCTTTCGGCGACTTTGCATCCGAGAGCTCGATGGACCTCGATAACATGATCTTCCCGACGGGATCGATTTTCATCTTCGGACCATGGATCTGCGAGGCGGACAACTACGGCAATCTTCAAAGCCATCTCCTCAAAGATCCGGATCATCATGAAGAATTTCCTATTTCGACAACTACGACGGATCAGCTCACCAGAAGATTCGTGCAGCCCATAATACCCGATTCGAATAAGATTTCACGGCTACATGCATCCGACTCGAATTCAAGCTCCGTGTCCGAGATGAAGTCTTATTCAAGTGCTTTCAAGAAACCGAGTTCTTTTTTGGCAAGATTCCAGAGCACAACCCAAAACAACTCGGATTATCCTCAGAGTTCTTTCAAAATACCGAGTTCTTTTCCATTTGGGCTCGACAACACGACAAAATCCTATCAGGGACAGTTCGAAAAGTCTTTCAATCCAACGCTTGGGATACCACTGACAGGAGCTCAGGAGGGTCTCGTGCTAACGATAACATCGCAAGACTGTATCATCCACTGGCCAGGTTCCGTTCCTGAGGATAGCAGAACCCAACTAGTTGGCACAACAACAACAGCTATTCTACCTTACCAAGAAGGAGACTCGATCTGCGACGTCGAGGCGCCTACTGAAGTCATCAGCAACTCTGACAGTATAAAAACTAACACCAATAACGGAATGGCTCACGCACGGGAAGTGCTCATGGTTTGACGTCCTCGGTCACCATTAAATCCCCCAGAAGCACCCGATGTCAGGTCATCAGATGAATCAGAGTCCAACATATCACCCTTTGCCTAGGGCTACGATGGAGAAACCGAGAGTCGAGACAAAGCTAGAAAAGGAAAAACAAGTTGAAGCAAGGACGCCAACACCGCTAGGCAAACATAGAAAGCTCGGACCAGATCACGAGTCGAGTTAGTGAATACGACAAAAGAAAATCACAACAAGAAGCCAAAGAAAGACGCATACGATGAATACGCCTTACGATAAGATTCGAGAAGCATTAGAAGAACTCGGGGCAACTTCACATCACGGAGAGAAGTACGAACAGCTCCCGGACTTGCTCCGGCGACGATCCCAAGAACGCATGAAGAGAGAGCCCGATCAAGACTACCCGCCAGATCAACAACCCGCAGAGCAAGAAGATCAAAATCAAAGGAAGTCCGCTTTTGAAAGACTTGGGCGGTGCGGAAGTCATAACGGAGAAAGTAGGAGGAACATAGTCGGGGCCACCAATTTGAACAACCAAGGAAGACCAGGAGTAGAGTGCCTACCAGCACGACCTCGCGAGACTTATTCCCATCAAAACAACACTTGGCGTAAGAAGGAGTCGAATCCGAATTCAAGGAAGCCGGACGCATGATGATTCCCTGTTTTGCAAACAGGTTGGCATCGATCGATTACCTCACAAATTCAAACCGTCTAACCACTCCAAGTATGATGGCAAAACCGAACCAAGACAATGGCTCGAATATATTCACAATCAATTGAACTAGCCGGAGGAGACGATGATATCAAAACCTTGTTCTTTCCCATGGCACTAGAAGCGATGCCCTCCAATGGTTCGATAAATTGAACCCGGATCGATCGAACTTGGGAAGACTTGCAAAAAGCTTTACAGAAAATTTCGCGGGTATCATCACACACCCGATCACTCATGCGAACTGAAAAGGACTCAAGCAAAAGGGGGCGAAAGTCTCGAAATTACTATCGACGATTCGCTGACTCAAGGGCTCAAGTGCATGACATCACCGAACGAGAAGTAATTGAAGCTTTCTCTCACGAAATCATGGCTAGGTGGCAATTTCAAGACTTCGCAAAAGAAAATCGAGAAACAATGAAGAGTTCAGACGAACAGTAAAAAAAATGATTACTGCAGAAGAAAAAACACGAGAAAGGTTCCCGGATAGAAGCAACCAAGACAACCCGGATAGGCAAAATCATCGAAATAGCAGACATCAAGAAAGAAAGCGTAGACTAGACAATACCGTGGCAATGGCCGACAAATCAAAGAAGTTTTCCAAACCCAGAAGATATGATGACATTGAAAACATACGTTGCCCATTACACCCTAACGGAGACACACCATCGGAAATCGCTACACTTTCAATGATCGATACACAAGAAAAGATAGTAAGGAGAACACCAAAGAGGACAATCGGAAGAAAGATGAAGACAACCACGAGGACAAAGGATTTCAAAAACCGAGGAACGGTAGCGATGATCTTCTCGGGGGCTCCAGTTGCGAAGCAAACATCAAGAAAAACTAGCACTACGGACTATCATGACGGCAGAACCGGCTACACCAAGATATCTCAATTGGTCACAATATCCAATCCAATTTTCAAGAGAAGACTAATGGACTAGCGTAGGGAACGCAGGCCATTACCCACTAGTTTTAGACCCAACTATTGCTTGTAGGTATGATCGTCACCAAAGTACTAATCGACGGGGGGAGCTGGACTCAACATCATCTTTTCGAAACACTAAGGAAGATGGGACTACAACTCACGGGATGATTACACCAACAAGCACTCCTTTTTTTTACGGAGTAGTACCCGCAAAGCGCTATGCCACTCGGACAAGTTACTTTACCCGTCACTTTTGGAACTCCTTGAACTATCGAAACGAGTTTATCAAATTTGAGGTCGCAGACTTCGATTCGTCATATCATGCGATCCTCGGACGCCCAAAGACTGCAAAATTCATGGCAATACCACATTATCCGTACTTATTGCTTAAGATGCGAGGACCCAACGGTATCCTTTCTCTTGAAGCGATTTGAAGCGTGCTTTTTTGATCAAGCGATGTTCAGTAATCCAAATTGCGCCCAAAGCACAAGCCGACAATGGAAGAAAAGAAATAGCCATAATTGCTTGCGGAGATGAGCCAAGAAGAATTAGAAATACCGGCTAAAAAGCCCAAAGATCATCACACCACCAAAAGAAGTCGACGTCAAGCAAATCGATTTGGGCACCGGCGATACCTCCAAGACAAAGAACCATCGCTGCTC